ATGAATATTCGTTTGATTTTTATACTTGATTTATATGTGAATCCCACATTTCTCCCTTTATTATTATTATTATTATTTTTATTTTTTTTAATAAAATGCTGAAGTGGTAGGTAGATGCAAGATAAAGGTAGAAAACATAGTTTAGTGTTGTAAGAGAGCAAATGTAGATGATCAGGTGTGTGCCTGTAGACTATGTGTAAAAAAATATTTTTTAAAAAAAGAAAGATTTTCTAGTAAGCAAAAACTGAATACCCCAAAGCTCATACCAGCAAAAAACATCCCAGGCCTGGGTGTGCTGCTTCTCCCATGGGCACACGGCTTTACATTCATTGGCTCACGGTAGCCTCTCAATAGAACTGTCTGTCATTCACACTCAACCAAGGAAACTGAGGCTGAGAGGGTGAAGGGACCCAAAGTCACACAGCCATTTAAGGGCATGAAGAGAGGAGGGCAGTGCGGCTGGGCCCAAGCTGGTCCCTGACATCAATCCTGAGCTTTCTGCTAGACCCTGCAGCCAGCTGTGCCAGCCTGGACCAAACCTATGGGTCAGCTGATGCCAGCATGCCAGCAGGTTCACTCTGCACTGGGAACTTGTGCAGAGGACCCCAGCTGTGAAGCTCTGAACAGGCCTCTGCTAGGCCAGGGAGTAACTAGATACTGCCAAGGTGGCCAAAGGCATCAACACACACACAGTGACATTCCTATAGGGGGATAGAGCCAGTCATGAAAGACAGCCCGACTAGAAAAGAACTACTAGGTATTTTCATTTTTATAAAACCATGAAACTGTGAGATACTTTTTTTTCTTTTTTCTTTGGTCAGGAGGCAAGAGGAAACTCATCAAATGTATCTAGAGGGTGAAGAAGGCCCCTTATGGTGGTGGTGAGGAGTGCAGGCTCAAGAGTTACACTGTCTAGATTCAAATCTTGATTCTGCAGGTCATCCACAAAGTAGGGGTATGACTACTGTCAGCCTCATCAGGGTGTTGTAAGGATTATCTGAGTCAGGTGCCCAGCGCACTACAAGTGTCCAACATACGTTAGCCCTTAGTAGTATTATAGAGCCCTCCCTGACAGGTGGTAAGTAGCAATTAGGATCCCAGGAGGGCTGGAGGAAAGTTACCTATAAGGGCTTTTGCCTAAGAGCAGCTTTGCAGTTTGACTCCAGGACAAAGTTCTGTGTGAGTCTAAAGTCATCTGGGAGGACCAAGTGAAGGCTGGGCCCTGCCCTCCAGCCAGCTGCCATTTACATTTCAGAGCTAACAGATGGGAACACCTAAGGTGGCGAGCTCCTCCAAGCTGGTAGTACAGTTCCTCCCTCTTCTTCCTTTTCCTCCCAAGGCCAGGCCCCTCACCTTTTTGTGCTTCTTGGCCATCCATTTGTCCCAGTTGTTGAGCATGTCCAGCCACTTGGACTCCCTCTGCCTCAGCACCTCCAGAGGGACTTCCTCCAGCCTGTGGAGCAGAGGGCAGGGCCCATCAGAGGTGCCAAGAGAAGCAAAGGCCCTGGCTGAGGCCCCAGCTGCCAGCCAGGTCAGGCCTCCATTCCCCCTGCTGCCCTCCATCCCTGCTGTTCCCTTTGGGGCTGCTAACTCATGAACATCCTAACATAGATGGGAGGGAAGGCATAGGCTAGAGAGAGACCAAGTTCAGGTGTCCATTCCCTCAGTGTGTCAAGGGGTCAGGGATCACTGCGCCTTTCTGGGGCAGAGGCTTGAATGCCTGCATCTGTGCATGAGAGCTCAGCATTCCCATCCTGGATCTGTCTTGATAATAAGTCTCAGCGGACGGCCTGCGTACTAGGTGCAGAATTGGATGGAAAAAATAGCTAAACAAGTATAGGAATGACATGCTCACTTCTTCACTCCAGAAAAACTATTTGCTCATAATTTCTCTCATTATGCCCTGGCCCTTTCCCACATCTTGACCTCTGCTCATGCCAATCCCTTTGCTAGAACAGGTCTTCCAAGTTGTTTCTACCTATTAAGATCCTACATACACTTCAAAGCCCATCAAATACCACTGTATTTGTACATCTGCTAACTAAGCTGCTATCACAGCTATGCTGGCATTGTCCTAAGGCCAGGGGCTCTAAGCAGGCTGTGGGGAAACATTCCTGCGAGTAGAGCAAAGTCCCGACCCTCACAGCACGTATGTGCAGCTGAACTCTGAATGCCCACTATAGCCAGTGGGAAAGCGCCTCAGCATGGAGACCCACCCAAGCAGGCAGACGGGCACCAAAGCAGTTGATGCAGGCTGGCGCAGAATCCCTGGCTTAGCCAGAGGCACTTCAAGTGGGCTTCCTCCAAGGAGTGAGTCCCTGGGAATTCAGGACTTCACAGAACTGTGAGGGGCAAAGAGAAAGTGGAACTAGCCTTTGTAGGCTGGGTAGTCTACATAAGCTTTCTTATTTAGCCTACAGAGCAATACTGTTAAGGAAATAACAACGAAAAAATTTATGTGTACACCTCTTTAAACATTCAAGACTCTCTTCTTAAAATTGTTTTTCCAGTGGTGGATTATGAATCTTCTTCGTTGCTTTTTTGTGTGTGTGTGCCTTTTTATTTTCAATTTTAAAAAGTACTTGACATTATCAAGAGGTGATACTCAGGATGGGTATCTTGCCAGAGTCAAATAGCAAATCAGTGGAAAAACCCAGACCCAAATCCAAGTTAGATCCTAGCCAAGAGCGCACACAGTCCTGCCTGCTCTCTCAGAAAGGAGTGCAGGGTAGGAGGCACTCAGGCACTGGGAGGAACAGGACTCGGTGGGGCTTGACCTCTGCCCAGGCCTCGGAGATGCTCTCTGAAGGAAGGAAATGCACTGCTGTGACTTTTACTGGTTGGTGAGCAGAGGGAGGGGCCCTGGCAGAGCAGAGGCCTCTGAGACACAAAAGGGCAGGTCCTCTTCTTCAGTGCGTTTCATCTGGGGAACTGCGAAGGCCTGAGAGCAGAGTTAGAGTTGAATAGCTGAGGAGGGATGACAGCCTGGGGCGGACTGGCCCCCTCAATACACAGATAAAAGTCATCCCCCTCTGGCCACTAACCCTCACCACCTGGAGGCAGAACCAGGGCACAACAACACTCCCTTTTCCCTTTCCTTAGGAGAAAAGCAGAAACCACACCTTTAGATCAGGTAATTTACAAACTGACAGATACCTGTCTCCAGGCAACCCTCAAACACCCAGGCGGTGGAAACCAAAGGCCCAGGCATCCAAAGACATGCTGCCTCCCAAGACCTACTTGCTTATACAAGTCAGGGGATGAGCCTTCTAACTAAACAAAAAGCGGTGCCCACAGTGAGTCAGCAGAAAGTTCGGGCAGTTTTGGGTGGAGATGCTATCTGATTCAATCCCTCCCGTTGAGCAGATGAGAAAACTGAGGCTCACAGAGGGCAAGCCTTTTGCCTGAGACCACCAGTTTCCAGAGAACTACCATGTGATTAAATACAGGCCCACCTGACATCTCAACCCTCCAGGCTGCCTTTATTGATAAGATCTAACTGCAGGGCCTCAGAATCCCCATTCTTCCAACTGCAGATACACAGGGCAACACATTCAATTTCTGTGTTCCTTTAAATGACGCCAGATAACAACTCTGGCAGTTTCAAAGCCCCAACATCAAACCTCAAACCGGAATTTCAACTGGGTACAAAACAAATGACCGTATTTCCTGAATTCTAAGACACTCCTGATTTTAAGCTATACCATTGATTTGGCAAGATCTCAGAAACAAGTAAAAACCCACCAGTCTTTAAATGTATACATCAACTGAAAGACCCATTATTTTTAAAACCTTAAATTAGGACATTTTTGAGGACATAATGGTCATTTGAGTGGCTTCTCCAATAGCAAAGGAGTTTAACTCACTTGGAGACGTTAAGAAGGAAGACCTAGAGGTCTGGTTGTGCCCTGCACTCAGCATATAACATGTTCTCAGAGTATGGGCAGGCTTCTCTTTATGTGTAGGATTTCTCCTAAAAAGTTACAGGCTATCCAGTTTTTTTAAATTCATATATTCTTCAGTCTAGTCAGTCAGGATCTCAGTAGGAATCTATTCTACAATATGCAAGACCCTTGCCCTCTCTGAGCCTCAGTTTCCCTATATGAGTGAATGGCCTGCCCTGTGAATTGAGTCTTAAAGGATGCCCAGAAAGGAACCATGAGATGGAGATGGGGTCTGGGGCATCCCTGCAAACTGCATGATGGTGTAGAGATCCTGACACGGTTTCCTCCTGACAGTGGAGGGAGAACGTGAGCCAGTTTCTAATAACAGGGAAGCTGACCAAATGGCCAGTTTAAGACACAAAATAGCCCATGAAGGATGCTTCAGGTCCCCCTTGAGGGTTTCTTTCACCCTGCAGAAAACCCCTCCTTCCCTAAGATGGCCTGAGGAAGCCTTTGCATTGAGACCCTGATGAGAGCAGTCCCGCACTCAGCCTCTGCTGGAACTCATCCAGGGATGAAGCCTCATTATCTCCACGGAAAGCCACCCTACTGTTAAGTTTCTACTGTTAAAACTTCCTTCCCCACATGACGCCAGAATCTTCCTGGTACCTTCCATCTGCAATCTCAACACTCCTTTCTAAGGCTGCACATATCTCCCCTACAGCAGCTCTCCTACAGGCACACACATGCATGTCGCTGTCACCCACCCATCTCTCTGCCTGAAGGCCTGAATATCCTTTCCCCATTCCCAGTCACAGCAACCCTTTTAGGTCCAATGCAACAATGAAAACCTCAACTTCAAGGACACCGGCAGCAACCATAGTTACCATTTGTACACCATTTACTACTTACTAATTTCTTCCTAAATGCTTTATATACAGTATTCTTGTGAACATTTCATAAGGCTACCATATTATCATTTTCTCTATTTCCAGAAGTAGAATCCAAGACTTAGTATAACTTAAGTATCTCGCTCAAGGCATGTGGCTGGAAGTGACAAAACTGGGATCAAACCCAGGCCTGCCTGACCTCACAGCCTGTGCTCTGGACCCGTGTACTGCCCTGAGTGCCCCTGCTCCTACAGGTCGGGCCCTCAGCCTCCACACACACCGCCGTGCCTGCCCAGAGCTTACATTAACTGTCCTTTAACCTAAAGACCTTCAGTTTAATTTAGAACACCATTTCTCAAAGTTTTTAAACTGAGACAAAACAATTTACTCTTACAAGTACTAATGTACTCTGATATTTCCAGTTCAGTTGTACATTATATAAATATATACATATGTTTAATGCTAGGAACAATCCCCTAAAATTGATTTCAGCACTAATTCATTACTGAATCAACACATGGTCTGAAATGAACACTTCATTACAACGTGCTCATATGGCTCAGCACTGTCCCTCCATAACTGGACTGGGTCTTGAACTACTTCTGTAACTCCTTCTATGTACCTCACAGGTGTTCAACAGGTGCCTGTCCAGTTTTTCTCCACGACATCATTACTTTCATGTGCATTGCATTCAGAGCTAAAGCCACTGCTGCTTATAGCAATTTTATTTGTGCCCCTAATAGCCCAGTATGGTGGATTCCTTATAGATAAACTACTTTTTCCATATGGTCCATGAGAAACTTGACCCAATCAGAGAGTCCATATGATCTGGGCAAAGCCACAAAGTTAATACATTAAATGGCAGAACCAGGGCTTCCCCTCTGCCACAGTGACTCGTGTGCTCTTCTGACTCCCCAGGGGAGGTGGTGGGGAAATCAGGTTGTATCCAGACGCCACCAAGGGGTTCTATCTCTGGCCCCCAAGTCCCTGGAGACAGTCTAACCCCCTCCTCCAGTGCTCTGACTGCCCCAGTGAGCAGCTTGCCCCTGCTTGAGGGAGAGAGGCACAGAGGAGACAAATGTAGGCAGCCGGAGAGTGACTGAGTCCAGATTCTGTCAAGCTCTCAGGCTGTGCTGTGCCATACCATGGCCCAAGGCAGCAGTGACACTCTGCTGACCCCCTCGTCTGCAGGCTCCCAGGTCCCTAGCCTTCCCCACAAACCCAGAAGCTGGAGGCTTCCAAGAGCTCAGAAGGCCAAGACGGGTTCCTATGGCTACCAATACCAAAGACTGGGGCTGTCTCTCCCCTTGTCCTTCCAATCATCTGCTTTCTGCCCAAGCACACCTTAGCCCCTCTGGTTGGTAGACTCAGTCAGATGTGGTGCCCATACCCATGACCCCTTTATCCAACAGTGGAAGATAAACCCTGGTCCCAAGGAAGCAGTCTAACCCCATCCTTCAAGCCTCAAATCTCCAAACCAGCCAAATAAGAGAACTACAGCCCAAGCACAAAGCCCAAGGTCACTGATCACAAGATTGGCCCTACTCTTCTCAACCACTGGTGGGGGCCAGGTAGGTGTGGGGGAGAGTGAGCAGAGTGGGGACCCTGAAGTCAGTCAACACAGGTTTCCATTCCAGCTCCTCGACCTGGAAGACTGTGGGCAAACTATTGGCCCTCCC